ATAACGACAAATTATTAAAATGTTTAACTACTTACCACTTTATTTTCAAATATAAATTTTTAACTCTGGTTACCAATCATAACGAAATCGCTGAGAAATTGTACAAGTTCTTTCGTTAATTTTCTAAATCGTCAACAAAAATGAAAGAATTACAATTTCTTGGGAATTTCGTTATGATTTGTAACTATTCCTCTTCTGGTCATTATGAAGACGCAAATCATATTTAAAAATATTAATGAATGTTAATCAAATCTGGAAATATTGCTTTTGAACGGCCTTACGTACATCTCCATAATCTCTCATTCATTGGGGATGGTTAACATTTGTATTTTAAAAAATAACTTTGTATTTAAATTCTTTACTATTATTATGTACAATTTCTTTAAGACTATTGATCTATGGATTATTAATTTTCCTTAATGGTTGAGTTACATTGTTTATAACAAGTGAATAATGGGGGTGTTTATTCCATATCCCATCATAAATGAGGCCATTTAGTGGGACCATTTCTTCCAATCCATTGAGGTGGGTAAATAGTATTTAACTGGTTCCTTACTGTAATAGATTTTTGTAAATGTTTTTGCTAATTTCGTTAGTCGACAAGCAATAAAACCTCAATTTAGTATAAATTGTCTTGTACAAACCAACATTTATCGCACTTATCGGTCGTCAGGTATCATTTGTATTAAATTTAAAATATTTCGAGTTTCACAAAATGAATTTTAATAAAGCGGAACTTGTAGACATGACTTGTTTTGGGCGAGTCATACAGAAATTCTTTACTTGCCGATAGAATTTACAAGCAAAGGTATCCTAAAAGAAGGATTCCTAATATTAGCAGCTTCTAAAACCTCGATAGATTTGTGGAAACTGGAAATGTCGAATATAAAAAAAATTAAAGAATAAAACGTGTTGTGAACGAAGAAAATGTCTTTTCTGTGGTGCTGGCAACGGTTGAGAATCCCCATATTAGTCAGAGAGCTCACTTCTCTCTCATTAGTAGGAATAAGTACGAATCTTAAAAACAAATAAGTTTCATGCATATTATATTCAAATGCACCAGGAACTATCTAAAGACGATTTTCAAAGGCGTTTACAGTTTTGTAATTGGGCCAGAGATAAAATGCAAGGTGTCACCTTCTTCAGTAATGTTTTATTTACTGATGAGGCAACTTTTCATAAAAATGGGTTTGTTAATAGGCACATTTTACATTATTATGCATCGGAAAATCATCACATTTTTAGGCAAGTTGATAACAAGCAGAGATGGCCTATAAACGTTTAGGAGAAATTATTGGAGAACATGTAATAGGGCCACATTTCTTTGATGGTACATTGACTGGAGCTATTTGTCTTAATTTTCTGGAAAACTGTATGCCATAATTATTGATGAATCTTCCTAAAATGATTCTAAATAGGATGTGGTTTCAGCAAGATGGTGCTCCACCACATTATTTAAATGCAGTTAGAGACCACTTAAATAATATCTACCCACTTCAATGGATTGGAAGAGATGGGTCCACTAAATGGCTTGCTAGATTCCCAAATCTTACAAAAAATGGATTTCTTTTTATGGTGATACGTGTAGGAAATTGTTTATAAAGACACACCAACAACAGTACAAAATATGAAGGAATGGATAATAATTGCTTTTAGATCTATCACACCGGCAATTTTAAGAACAGTAGCAACCTCATTTCAAAAGCGCATAGAGAGGTGTGTCAATCAAAATGCGCAACAAGTAGAGCACTTACTATAATTTTTTCTAATGAATTATTTGAAGAAACCTCTATTTTTTAAGTATACTCTTGAATTTTGTACTCATTGTTCAATAAAACGAAAATGGATGAAATTAGCCATAGGGAAGTACTTACAAATGTTCGTTTTTCATTTCGACATCACATCGTTGTCTTGTAACTAGTATTCACATCCGTTTTTCTTAAAACCCATAATTATGACTTTGGTGATTTTCTCAATATGCATCTGCAGATGGCATTATTTCAACAAAAAAATTCATTACATCCAATTGGTTGGAAGATATATATATATATATATATATATATATATATATATATATATATATATATATATATATATATATATATATATATATATTTTTTATATATATATTTTTTTTTTTTTTTTTTTTTTTTTTTTTTTTTTTTTTTTTTTTTTTTAATTTCTAGCTATCGTAGAAATCGAGATATCGAAGTCCAACGCACTATTGCCCCACCCTGTATACTAGTATAAAAAAGTTATATGCTGGCCACATCAGATATTTCTTTTTGGGATGCATCGTCACTCATGTAATAAGGGAGTCGGGTAAACGACATTTATGTCATTCTCATCAAATTGTCAAATTTTCTGTGCTCTATACTATATTATGTAAGTTTAATGCATAATTTTGAGGCTTTAAATATCAGTACATTGAAACTTATCTTGGAGAATGAAGTTTACCCGCAAAAGGCATGTGAAGAAAAATAAACTACCTTATTTAATTTTTTAGTAAACCATATACTTTAAAATTTCATAATTTACTCCATCTTCTACTGATTGATTGAATCTCGGTATTGAATTATATTTAACTTCTAGCAATTTTAATCTTATCAAAAACATAATTTTCTAGAGTAAAACAATAATTTGCAAAACACATGAAATGTTATGACTGGCTGGTGATTATTTTATATTTAAACGCTCCTTGTATGTACCCTGTCCCGGGCTCACGTGTAAGTGTAGGTCTTATTTTCGTGTGTCACGTTGTGATATGGCACCACAATTTGGATAATATGACAGTAAAAGCAACAATTAATTGGTCATATGGGAACGCCTTGGACGCGCTTCGTTAATCACATACATAACTGTGAACTTTATTAAAAAAGTAATTTTAGTAGCAGGTGTAGACATATGCCAGTAATTTAATTTATATATGAATGTTATACTAATGTGGATGGTTCTAACTTTAATTACTTATGAACATTACAGAAGAGTACAATTAACTTAATTTAACAAAAGCTTTGGAATTTATTGCGATGCTTTATCATTGGGACAATTATTAATAGTTTAGTTTTCCTGTATTATTTTTAGCTACAAGATATTCTTAAAATAAAAAAGAAGGAGTAAAAAATTATAATCCAAAAAAGTTTGCTATTGAACTTGAGTGATAGACTGATGTGTATTAATGAAATCATGTTTATTTTATATATAAAAAATATATATTCAAGATACCGTTGGTGGCGACAGCTGAAAAAAATGTTTTCGATTTTCGAGTATTATGTAAATGTGTATTAGCTAGGTAGATTTGTTTTTTTTACTTTTCCTTGGTTCGTATGAAGAAAAGGATAATGGGTATTGCCCGCAAAAAAGGATGAATCCGTCGACACGTGTTTCTGAGTCACCACTCGTAATCATGACGGCTATAAGTTGTAAGGATAGGCACAACTTAGATGTTGAACCTAAGTTCAAGTTGAAAATACACAGTTATGTAGAGAATTGAAAGACCTTTCAAAACATGTAGCATGCGCTCCCCCTTTGCCATTTGAATTTTTGAGGGGGTGGCCGTGTAGGGTAGAGAGATGATGATAGGTATACAAGTATTACATTAAAATATGTCCCCTTGGAAACAAGGTCGACGTGTTTCACCAATTTTTCAAAACATTTTATCTCCAAAGTTATTCATGGTGCCTACTTTTGGTTGTGACACCCTGTATATATATATACATATATACAGGGTGAATCCTTCTTTGAGTCACAAAATGTTTACTAAACACATTTAGTGAAAAACACTAGACAGACATACGCTCATTCTATAAAGTACTGGTTACGGAGGCTACTAAAAAGTCGTGTCGTATTCAGGTACGTTAATTTCTGAGCGTCGGGTAGGTACCGTTTGCCGATATAAATATCGCCCCCCTAACGTCGCTAATTGGCTGTAAACACAGTAAACGAAGTTTAGTATTTTCCGAGATAACACCGACAGAAGTTCTAAAAATATCAACACTTACATGTTGTGACTCTCATGTTATCTTTTATACAATTTTCGACGAGGTTTTTCAAAGTACTAGAACAAATTCATTATTCAACAAAACAAACTTGTGACATATCTTAAAGATTCACATATTCAACAGGTCTTTCAATAATTCACAAACATTTAGAGATCAGCCAGGTTTGTTCTCTGTGTAGTGTTGTAAAATTTCGGTAATTTATTGATTGTTGGGAATATAAGGGAATTTTCGAGAATTTTTGGATAGATCTCGATATATATTCAGTCTATGTAGTGCTCCTTCTTTTGGTTGCTTGTTGACTTCCTTATAAGAGCAAGTTCTTTGCTGAGTGAAACGTGGGCAACATTTTAATTTCAGGAAAAAGATTAAAAGAAATTCTTGGTTTCTTGAGCAATTTTGTATCGTGTCCAATGTATAATAATTTACGTCCTCTCCTTGTAGTCAATCGATTTTTTCTTACAGTGCGCGAAGGAGTAAGTACTAAACGACCTCTCAGTAGCTGACATTTAAGCAGGTAAACCTAGAATAGCTGCTCCTAAATCTTTTAATTTGTCTTAATACACATACCTTTCCGCCAATTCATATTATCTGACCTCGTAACCGTTGCCAATTGAAACTCATGCTCCACAAATGACTTTTGGCTAAATATTTTGTAAATTCTACAGAAAATATTCCTTTAAAATCTTTATATAATTATATAACCTTTGAACAAAATTTTGAGAAATATTCTCGAGAACTAGAATATTCCCGAAAAATGCTTTGAAAGTTTCGGAAATAATTCTTTGTTCCTTCTCGGAAGTGCGATAATACCGTAACTTACGCAATATTCGGGAATATTCGCTCGAAAATATTCGGCCCTCACAACACTATCTTTGTATGTGCCACACTGGCTGATTGATGAACAACAGGGTAATGTGGTGTAAAAAAATGCTCAAGCAGGTCGAATCTAGTCGTTCCCAGCAACTGAAATCAGTCGCGATTGGTGACAATCTTGGTGGTAGCTTCGTGGTCGAGCGGTAAGGGCACTTGCTTCTCACCCTGGTGTCTCGGGTTCGATACCCGATCGAGGAGCTAGGATGTTTTCTAAATTAGAATAATGGCATACTCGGATATTGAGTGTGTGTCCATTGTGTAGTCCTCTCCCGTACAAGGTACCTTGATGTACCTTCAAGGAAACAAGGGGTTGTATTATCTATGTTATTTATTATTATTTATTAAAATGTGGCTTTATTATGATGTGCCGTCTAAATCACAATACAAAGTATTATTGTTTCGAGATGAAAAACCTGATACTATAGTTTAGTACTACCTGGTGATTGAAACTCTTGAAAGTCTACTACCAAATTTACGTTTCGACATCTGGTAGTTTGATCATGATAATGCCCCTGAACAGCATCCGCTGTATAGACGAGATCTGGCGCCGTGTGATTGTGGATTGCTTTCTTACGTACAGAAACAGCTGAAAAACGACGCATTTCAACGAGGAACAATTACTTGCAACACTGAATGAGATCTGCGAGTTTATTCCAAAGAAAAGTAATTTCTTCTCCCGAAGAAGTGTATAGAGTATGGCGGAAAGTACTTGGAAAGATTTTGATTATTAAATATGCACGATGCAATTTATTTAACAAATCAATTGATAAACCATGTGTGTAAACTAATTCAGAATGTGTTTGCTGATATTGTTGCAATCTTATGAATTTGCATTTACGTGTTTTCCTAAAGGTATTGATATTTCTCAGTTTTGTTTTGACAGGTGTTTGTTTCCTTTCTTTTGTTCTACTTTTGTCCGGAGATACCTAATATATAACAAGAAATATAACGAATGACTTACTTGTTGTAAAGTATAAAATCTCTTATAACTGAAATTGTTTTGGTTTCAATATAATATGGTTGTTTTCGTTTTAGAATGGGAAAATACATGTTCTATTTCTATTTTTGTTAATGCAAATTTGCGCTACGAAATTCTTTGATGTCTGTATAAAGAGATCTTTGTTGTTTTTGTTTTTTTGAATAAAGCCAAAAATAATTTCTTCCACAATAACTAATATTCCTGTATAACTCCCACATGGTTCCGGGTTGAATTGTTCTCATTGAAAACGGCAGCCATACAGTTACGATATCGAGATTTACTTCTTTAAAACCTCATTCACTCAACTTTGTCGCGTCAGTCCTTTCTATCTGTATTTTCAGGAGATTGTTCCAACGAACACCATTATCAGTAATTACCTTCAGCAGTGTACAATTTCTATATTAACTTTCAATCTAACAAAAATCTCAATAATTCTCAGTACCAAAAAAGTCCACAATCATTTACCTTTAAGCATAGAAAATATTTGGTCAGAAAATTATCTCATATATGTATATTTAGATATTTTATACGGAAAGTTTCCTGTTTTTAAATATACCGTGTGTAAAATGCTAGTGAACAGTTAGAAAAGTAATACGAGCGATGGCTGAGAACTGGAATGATTGGAGATAAATAAGATGCACCCAGCGACATATCAGGGAGTTACAACTACTAAAAATAAATGAGAGGCGCTTCCTACATTTCACCTCACTATTAAATAATGTCATCCTAACGCAAAAAACCTATTTATCTCTATGATAAACTAATTGCGAGAAATGTTATGCATAACCGAAACTTGAGATATACAAACGACCAATTGCATACAATAAGGCCTAAATATGAAACATTTCGATCATTCTTTACCTACCTCTCGACTTATGTCTACCTCCACAGCTACAAAATAAATCAACAAATGTACTAAAACGTCAACTAAAGTCTCTGATTTTGAACGGCGAATTAAACATAAATTTAAAATTGTTTTAGACGGTGATAAAATAGTGATAAAATCTAGATATCATATAGATAAATACTGTTTTTGATATATATTATATGTTCATATACTGTAGATATATGTACTTAACTAGATATACGTTAGATATACACATATTGTAATATTGGATATTATATACTGTATTATCATATGCTGGATAAAATCATAAGTTAGATATTATATACTGTACTAATACTATACCAATGGTATCCTAGGTTAGTAGTTTTGATATCAGTGTATACTGTACCACTAACCTTTTGTGTTAAATTCTTTCTATTTTACACAATAAAGACATTTATTTATTTATTATATTTAGTCTGTGCCCAACTAGCCACCCACGATATAATCATACAGTAACCCCACTATTACTACGTCCTTCTCGCTTGTTCAATCTATCAGTCTTTGTTAAGATTTGGGCACATTTGACATTTTACACACGCTATACTATCTTATATAAACTATATCGAAATATATACAATACAGCCATTTTTTTTTGTTAAGCATATTCTGTACAATCTGGCGCTGTATCTTTGAAACTTTAAAAAATATAAAGTAAATAAATGAAATATATTTTTTTAAATCTAGCTTTCTCTTGATATAATTTAGCTTTGTATTCTTTGTTGTTTCTCTGTGTCCTTGAACCTTGACACTAAAGTGCCCCTTTAAAAGTGTTTATTAAAGAAAACAATGTCCTGATATAGGTACCCCAGGATGAAAGGTGTGTGTCCCTGTTTTTTCCCCTATCTGTCTTCAAATATTTTTTTTCTTTCTTCGGTATAGATGTAGGTAAAATACTACATCTATTTACATTTAAGCTCCTAAAGATAACTGTAACCATTCCAGTGGTGACTGCAGAAAGTTGTTTTTCCGTGTTAGTCTAGATTAAAATGTTTCTACGTAATCCCAAATGCGAACATTACCCAATGGGAATATGTTGTTGTTTAAACATTCACATAACGTTAATTAATGTTTGCCTAACGTTAATTAACATTATATAAACGTTTAAATAACAATGTGTTCCCATTGGGTAGTCTTTAACAGAAACTGGATGTAAGAAATAGAGTTGAAAATGTATAACATTTTCAACTATATTTCAATAAAGGAACGTCGCGTCAGTTCGAAATTAATTTTAAAACCTCTACATGAAAAAACATAAGTACAGCAATTTCCCTAGAGTTATTTTAATTTAACATATTTTAAATAATCATTTTATGACAAAGAAAGATGAAATAAATAATCCTATGGCGCTTTGAGAACATGGTTAATTTTTCCTGATTTTTAATAATGCTGTTCCTCTGTTAAAACCTCGTTAGCTGCCACTGAATAGTAGGCTAGAATTAATGTAAAAATCACAAAAACATAATAAAGATATGACTGTTTTTTATATATCTTATAAATTCAAAATAGATCATCATCGATAATTTATATGTAAAACGATTTTTTATAGAAAACCTGCTCGACATTTACAGTCGACCTTAGATATTTGTTATGCCTATTAGAAAGTGTTACTTATGGAAGTTGTAAATCAGACACTGTTTTAAATGCTTTAATCTGATTTCACCAAGTACTTAATTATTTTTAAATAGTTTACGTTTAATTTAATACGATTTCTATTTATAGGACACTAAAAACTTGAATTATTTTAAAACATGTTTTAATTGTGTCATAAAAGTGTACTCCGTAATGAAAGTAAATCATACATATGTTTTGTATATTTATTTGCATTATCAACATGTTACGTTATTAATTACATTAACATAATGTTTTGCAAACAAGCCTTATCCTTATCCAAAATTAATTTTTTTTAAATAAAATTCAGGCTATAGCACAAATTCAGGAACTTATTCCTTTCATCAAAATAAGACAAAACGTTACTCTGAAGATGGGCCCGATAACGCTGCTTTTCTGAGATATAGGGCAATGAATATCCATCAGAAAGTGAAAATGTTTACTTTCTCATCTATCTATACTGCTAGAGAAAGTATTGGAGTCGGGAGAAAAATCAAATTCGATTATTATGAAAATTGACGTTTTGAGACCCGAAAATAGAAAATTTAACCGATTCAGCATGCCGTCTGTGTATCTGTGAGTCGCTGGTCATTTTCTCAAACACGTCTCGACGTAAATATCTGAAACTTTACATATGCTATCTGGAGAATCCAAGTAAGAACCCTATTGAATATCAGTGAAATTGGTGCACCAGAAAGGGCACGTCTCAAGACGTCCAACAAAAAATTGCTTCAAATCGAAACATTCTTTAAATAAATATTGTTCAGAATAAGTGAATTTGCCGAAAAGAACTCTTGAACATTTCTCGTCAGATTTTAACCGTTTTATTGAGAAAAATGTCTAAAATTAATATCATTCAATTAAAAAAAAGTCAGTCTCGACAGTACTTTCTCATCACACCGAATTTGAAATGAGTGAGAAATAAATTGAGGTAAAATAACCTCGTTTGCTTCGTTTGTCTCGTTTTTATCTTTTTTATATCATTTATTTCGTTTATCATTTATCTTATTTTCTTATTTATCTTATTATTCTCATTTATTCTCTGTGTCTCATGTATCTCGTTTATGTTTTTCCCTTTTTTATCTATTTTATCTTGTTTATAAACACAAGTTAAGTTCCTCTTCTTGGTAAAAGTTTAAAATATAGAGTGGAATGAAAAATAATAACGCTGAAAATTTTTTTGCTAATTATTATTTACTAACTTTTATAAATCTAATCACAGATAAGTATAACATATATCTTTTTAAACAATTGTTTTCCCGGCTATTTGCCAAAACGCTGAAACTTGTATTACAAAAAGATAATATGCACATTATGTTCAGTACGACTGACTCATTATGTTGTTTTTAATTTCAACTATTCTGTATAGTAAAACCAAAAATAAATAAAACAAAAGGCACTGTAACAAAGTTCACCTATCTGGGTAGATATTTATTTGTCTCATTTGAATTTATCATTCCACGCGCACTGGTTAAAGAACCGAGGTTGATTTCTGTACTGAGGAAGCGAGCCCAATGCGATTCTACCGATTCTTATTAGATGCTGCTAGCAATACTATTTTATACTTTCTGTTTTTTGTATAATTCTTTTTTGGTAGCGATAATTTAAGATGTGAATAGTTTTGTGTATTTGTAACCCTAGTAAACGAAAATAGTTTTTATCTAACAAATTTTGTGTTACAAAATAAGATTAGTGGGCTTGGTACTAGGTAAGTGTTTAATAATT